AAGTTTGAGCTGTTGATGACCTGCTTTTGCTGAATGCAGGCTTCTCTGAGCGAAGTCTTGCATTGAGGACATTTCTTGGTCATTTCTGCATGATGTGGCTCTGGTTTTGCTTAGAATGGACAGTGTCCATGAGGCTTCAGACTCCCTTTGTTTTCGAGGTGACAAGGTATCTGTTCTTCTTTCAATCAATAGACACATCCATTTCTTTCTCATTATCTTTCCAAAGCGCTTGCAACAGTGATGTGAGAATATTTCCTGAGGTCTCTGGGTCCGTTCTCAGTATCTCTGGGGTGAATTCTATGTGGCCGTGTTGTTTTCCCACGTCGCTTTCAGGTGAAACTTGATGACATGGAGGACTTCTGCTTTTGTTGGAGGATTGGTGTCTGCTGGTGGTTCTGTGTTTGTTGTCGGTATCTGTGGACGAGTTGCGGGTGATGGTTGTTTGAAGAGTCTTTCGAAGTGATCAGTGCATTGTTTCCTTTGTTTTCTCTCTTTGGTTATTAGTTTCTTCATCTTATCTTCTGTTGGCTTGATCTGTGATGAACTCTTTCGCATAAGTGATCTGACTGTGAGGTATGTTTCACCTGCAGCCTGTTTTGTTGCAGTTGTCTGTGTTGTGAAATCTGTTCTCTCTTTTCTAGTACTGTGTTCACTCCTCTGTTCCTTTCTGCGTGCATTGAAGCCAATTTCGCCTTTCGTCACTTATCTTTGCAATGGTTCATCTTCTCTTTCACTACTCCTCTTTCATCTATCATCTACGAGGTGTTCATGGAGAGACATTCCTATTCCTGCCTATTCCTCCTTCCCAACGAGGTTTATGATGCCTTCCTTCAGCATCATTTCGACAGAGTTCCAGATATCCTCGTCACATCCTTTCTTAGTGGTACTACCCAACTTCTTCACCTTTTCCCTGGTGGCAGCGATAAAGGTGTCTTTTGAAGTTTCGTCCTTCATATATGCAATGTTGATCTTGTTGAATTTCGGTATGTCTGCAGCTTCATTGAAAGTTTTCAACTTGATGTTGAATGTCACTTGCATTAGATAATGCTCTGATCTGAGTGAACACCTACTTTTCCTCTCGTTTTTGTGTGGAGCAGTCTCCGCCTCCACTTTCTTGTGACTGAGATGAAGTTTGGTGTCTCCATCTTATATACCCCCTCCCGTACTATGGCTCTTGGTTTAAAATAACACTCTGGCTTCACTTTCTTTACTGTTTAAGGTTTGGAATACTTCGACATTATGCCTTCTTTTTTGTGGCTTGTTTGTCGGTGCGAAGCATAGTATGGTTGTAACCTTCTCATCGTTTTAGTCTTGCTGACATTATCTCAGGGACAATTGGTTCACACTTCGTCTGGTCCTTCAATGCTCTTGGTGGCCTCATATTCGTTACCCCTCAGTATTTCGGTGGTTTTCGTGTGAATGATTGCAGTAGATTACTGACTCTCGTATCGACATTATGTAAAGTTCGCTTACGTTTTATTAGGTCCCACTGATTACCTGAATTTCTGTGCGTTAATTCCTCATTTCGCTTGCATCATTTCTCTTCCCCGATTCAAATAATCAGTAATATGTTAATTTTCTATATTTTGTGTATGCTTTGAACTATTTGTATTGAATATGTTGTATTTGCTGAAAGAGTCATTGACCCACATCTTCCATCTTTTTTCGGGCTTATAAGTGGCTAGTAAACTAGGTGTGGTACTGAATCCCGATTGTGGATTAAAATGAAAAACGAAATATTGAAAACCTAATAGCAGGAAAATGGATAGGTAAATGCTTGTATGATAATTTGAATGGGATTGTCAGACAATGAGTGTAACTTGGGAAATTTTCCATGGAGTGTGTGTGGAGAGGAAATCTCTAATGAAGGTATCTTTTGAGTTTCTGAGAGTATTTTTGCAGAGGCGTAAACTTCATTTAGAATAAATGAAGGAGGAGTTTGCGACTCAACAATCAATGAAATTATTCAGATATAAAAAGTTAAATATTTTGGGAAGTCTGTGGGTAAAACAAAATCTGAGCTCATGCTATTCATGTGATTAATATTTCCGATACGTTTAGAAGAATGGAAGGCAAAAATGTTTCATTCACAGAAAGCTGGGTAACGTGTAGTGACATACATTGGGGATATATATATATATATATATAAAATTCCACTTACCAATGGTTTATTTCATTGGTTAGATACAAGTTCTGTTGTTCTATGTTGAATGCATAACATTCATTATGGCCCACATTTTCAACGGTTGTAGTCTACATTTAAATGTGTTTTTCTGAAAAAACCATAATCTTTATACTTTCCTGTTCACATCAAAACCGTAGCCTGCTTAAGTCACTGGGTTACCTGAATTTCCATCCAATACAATGCAGCCTATTTTCTATAATTTTGGAAAGTTTAACCGTTCAATGATATTCTGTAGTCGCAAAATGTAATCATGAACATTTTTGATTTGCTTTCGAACTACTGGAGCATATTCCTCGAAGATGAATGAAAAGCATAACTCAAAATTATTCTGTTTCCAATCTAACAACATGATGTTCCATTATATACTATAGGCTGTTATTTTATCTGAAAAACCTGGATGAAGAGGAAATACTACAGAGTGAATTTTCTTTTTTTATTCCTTTACATTCCCAGTGGAACATAGGGCTTCAAGCTAGAGGCTTAAAGTTTCGGTAGCAGTGGTGTTTATTTTTACGGGATGTGGTTGCTAGCCTCATGCCCAACCTTCCCTCCTTATCAGTCTTATTAATGACTAGAGGAGATAAAGGAGTGTGTCCTCAGGAGACTGAACTCGGGACCACATGCGTGGTTGGCTAACACCCTAGCACTGTATCAACGACGAACAATAGAATAAATTACACTGATGTTTCTGTGTAAACATTTTGTCCAGAATACAGCTATTATTATTGTTGTACAAATAGCCAGCCCAAAGTTTACGCGAAATTCATTACTTTACTTCTCCGATTATGCTGATGAATGAGTAGAAAATTTATTCCACAATTAGATGTGTGAAAAAGCGGTAATTATACACACATTTGAATAAAAATCTATCCAGGTATCTATAGAAAGTCTTAGTCTAAAATTTTAACACTACCGAGGTGGCTTTGAAATGGTGTTGTAAGCACGTTTGTCTAATGTGTCCCAAGTTGGAAAAAGTTTCCTAGTCAGTTAGTTTACCTCTAATAGTTTTATATTTTCACTTCGTAGAGAAATATGTAAAATCAACCATGTTAACCAGAGATTTTCCAGGGTTACCCAATTGTATATATATATGCCTATTCATGTTTAGCTTATGGAAGTAACATTGGTAATCAAGGTGTTGTCCGTTTGTTTACTGATGTTATTCTGTATTCTTGTAAAATAAATTTTCTTACTTTAATATCCTTTTGTGTTTGTCCGTCTATAACCATGTGACATAAATGGATAGAAATTAGGATAGTAAAGTGAAACCTTGTACGTGTGCTAGTGATAAAGAATTGGATTTAGAGGGAGAAATATAAGATTGAAGACAGACAGACGTAATATTTCGCTTCTAGCAATAAAAGTCATCGGTCAGTCGAAAAGATAGTACGCGGTTAATTTTTTTTTAAAGGTGTTTTCACCTCTCTTGATACACCTTAATCTACTTGCTTGTGATCGTATAACTGGTTGGTTAATTGGGTGTTCGGTTGGGTTGGTTAGCTAACCATTCTTTAACTAGTGTTAACCAAACATTCTAAGTCATCCTACTTTGCCTAATACTCCTCTTATACTTCTACTATTACTGCTTTCTCCTTGATCATCTTGTCCTTGATGTTGTTTCCAGTGGAGTTTTGTTCATCATGATAAATAGCACAGACTGTAGAATTGTCCATTTAACTGACACTTAAAAAAGTAAAGTAACAATTGAAACGTTTATATTATTTTCCATAACAAGTCTAGAAGTTAATTCTATGTATCTACATACACACAAAATACATACCTGCACACATATATGTTTGTCTCATTATAGTCACTAATATGATTCAAAGTTAACTGAAAATATTCTCCCAATAAATGTTCATCTCTAAATTTAACTTATTTATTTTATATAAATTAGAAATTATAATGCCTCATACAAAGATCATATATGATCTATAATAATTCTTACCAAAAATAACTACGTATTGATGGATGTCCTTTTAGAAGAAATCTCTACAGACATTTACAAATATGATGACTTGATTATTCATGGGATCACTTATATTTGCACTTCATTATGATGAAATTTTCTGCTGGATTTACCAAAAGAATATATGCTTTCCATCTTACACAAACAAACCCACATATTCCTATGTGTGTTCTGCCGAAAATCTCCCTAGTAAGATAACAAATAGTTTTGAAAAAGTATTGGAGGTGCACTGAACATTTTATCATCTATCTCTCTATCTATATTTACATATACATTTGACAATGTTGACTAAGAATATATTACATATCGGGATCAGAACTTAACTGACTACTGACTGGAAAAGTTATATCATCAGGGGATGAAAATCGAAAACCTAACAACAAGTGGACATTATTTTGCTTACACATGTTGAATTACACTCAATTTGTCCATGAAAATATATCATCTCGTTGAATACAAATAGAATGATGTCTAAGATTGAAATTTAATAAACACTATGTATTATGGATGCATCAACAGGCGAATATTATTCATCACACTGGAGATGTTGCATGAATACTCATTTTTATATTTAATTTTATTATTATACTTAAGAATCCTTATTCAATTTGAACAGAAAAAACACCAAAAACTCAGAAGTTTGGAAATTATTGGACCACCTTGAAATAATTAAACTATTTTAGGAATTACTGACATTTTTGTATCGGTAGAATACCATCAGATTTTGCTTCTTAAAAAGTGAAAAAAAGGATAAAAAATCTTTTGTGGAAATAATGTACAAACATTTGTGAATTTCTCATTGAAATTTAGTCTACATAATATAATAATATACTTGAAAATACTCCAATGAATCCAGATACTGTACTGCGTATAGGAAGAGTATTCGAAACTCCATATGGAGGTGAAGGAGTTGACTTTGTGGATCAGTTAAATTATCAATTTACAGGTGGATTGTTGATTATTTTCATAGCCATAATTGGAGTCAGACAATATGTTGGTAAGTATTCTATATAAAGTTCTACATCTATATATAAAGTCACTTAAATAAAAAATTATCAGTAGTAATCGTGAAGTGTCGAATTTCTATAATATAAAACAGCATAACTGATATACTTTTAATAGAAATCAGTATACGCCACGTGACCTTAGATATTTTTAAACGTTGAAGATGCCTTAGTTTTCTGCCACAATGTAAACCCCATGGGTAGATCGGAAGTCAAGTATGAAGACAGAATTTATCGGAGTTTTTACCAGTAACTCAGGAACTTTGAGATATATTTTTATTAATTAAGAAAGTGCTAAAGCGTTACTGTTATTCAGAGAGATAATTACTAAACATAAAAATATATAGCACCTTGAACCGTTTTAGTTGTTTGACATCGTAACCTAAATGTTCGGTAAGATATGGGAACAACTACATGACTGTCCAACTGAGGTACTACTTGTCTCAACACAACACTAAAATCTCTTCAAATTTACTTGATATTCTTATCAGCTAAAAATATATAAAAAATTTGGCAGAATTCCCCTTGTTGAGAAAACTTCTTGTACTTACTTTACTTTACTTCGGCTATCTCCTACGGGAGGATGAACCGGCTTCATGAACATCTCGAATCATCGCTGCCCAGGCGCGGCGATCTGATGCAAGGTTTGTCTGTAAGAGAGTTCATGAAGTTTCATGGCAATTTGGTACGAGTGATGTCCCCAGAATCGCTCGGCCTTTTGTTTGAGAGTGTAGCTCTAGCCTTTACACAACCAAATGTGACCTACAAGGCAGTAGGAGTGGAGTAGAGAGTCTACTATCCATTGGCAGCCGGTGACCGGAGTTCGGTTCATACGCCTTTTTTGAATGGGGCCAGACATCCAGGACATCCAACAAGCCCTTTGTCCATACGTCTGCCGGTGAGCTCCAGTGAGCTTCATACACCAGTCGTTGGAGGTTTGGAATCAGGGTTTAGCCATCTCCCCTAGACTGTCATCCAATGGACAGTCAACCCGGTGAAGAGCGCCAGGCATCCGCTTTCACCCTCTCACTTTGGTGAAAAACACCTCCGCCACGTGAAGGCAGTGATTAGGACTTCCTCAGGAGAGGCTATGTAAGACGCCTGGTCATATGGGAGCATTTCAAGAGGTGTGCGGAGGGGTGGCCAACCCGCAGCGCAAGGTACCCACTTCCGAACATCCTGAGGCTTCTTGTACCAACTGATCGACAATCTCCAAAGCAATGCAGATTAAAACGTCAGTTGATTGAAAAATCATCAAAAAGCTGAAGCTGAGATAGTACTTAAAGAAGTATCATGATATCTGCTAAAGAGACCAAAATTCCCAGAGGAGGACTTTACGTGCATGCGAGCAAACAAAATGTTCATTATATATTCCAGGACTTCCACTATCACCATACCCTTAATGCAAAACTCAAATAATTTATTGCTGTGCATATTAAATCTTGTCATACTGTTTGAAAAAAGATTTTATTTTATTTGAAAAACTTCACCAAGTTGCATATCAGTCACCTAAAATTAAGCAGAACTATTCGCAGTTGTAAAGTATTTTACTGGAAGTAGTGATGAGGCTGATGTAGTCCACAACCTCCCCTAGTTTGCTAGCCAATCGCAAGCGCAGAAAAGAAAGAAGGTTAAGTGTGAGGGTAGCGACACCAACCTGTGTAAACAACATCACGGCTATTGGAACTACAAAGCTTCAAGTCTTGGGCCTTATATTCCACTTGTACCTTAAGGAATGAAAAAATTTGACCAACAGTTATAAAGTTAAAATTATAAAATTATCTACTTCCACTAGGTACGGAGAAAAACCCAGCGAATACCTTAGATCATCTGAATGAATTTTTTGCTTATCCATGAAGATATTTCTAAACATTTCCAAAGAGTCAAGTACACGTTCCTAAGACTGGTAGAAAGTTTCTACTTTTATAAGTACTTTCATTAACGTCATTTATCGGTTAGTTTTAAAACCTAATAGCACTTGAGGAAGGACTGATTCAGTTTTTCCTGTTTATATTATTTTCAAAAAAAACATTTTTCACGGTTTCAGTTAAGTGAATTTTAAAAATGTTAAAATTAAGTAGCTTTTAATACTAATATTAGGAAAAATGCGATTAAATAACTTACGAAAAACTGAATAATGATAGATGAATAACAGAATACGGCTTCAATTCGTAAAGTATGTGATGAAATTGTTTCTATTAGTAACGCAAACATCTTCCTTCATCAAGCGGGCTTCATTTCAAGGTCCTGTTTGTTTTCTAGTTTCGTTAGGTGGAAGTTAAAAATATTTTAACTTTCTATAGAAACTTAGAAGAATAGATATCTCTAACGCATCTGTAATATCGTTTGACAAAACTCTGAAATAAAGCCTAACTGAATTTCTTCATCACGTCTCAAACTCCCAATTTTCTGACAGTTTACACTGTATTTAGCCCTAGTTCTTTCTGGACGACTCATTAATACATGCACCCAAAGTAAATATCAAAAGTTCATTCAAAAGCTCCTCGTTGCCCTCTGTCTGCCGCATTATCCAGTCTACTGCAATCAAGAAAATTATTGGAGACAGTAGTCATTTCTTTATAAGAAAGTGAAATAGTACAAAATATTTAATTAGTTTACTTTCTTCGTATGGAGTATAATTTTGAAAGGTACATATTTTTGACAATAAAGAAAGAGTTATGAAAATGTCTGTCATTCTTGCAGATTTGAAATTTAATCTACAGATAGTCAATTCTCGAATGATTTCTGAGCGATTTCCAATATCCCATTTGTATTATACACGTATAACAATGCAGATTTATCGAATGAAGAAATATCATTATTGAATGTGGCATGCTGCATAACTGAAAACGCAATAACGTTAGGTAATATTATCCAAGGAAATGTGTCCAAAGGGGCAAATAGCTAAGCGAAGAGCTCTGACTGAACCGGAACACTTCGTATTGCCTCTCAATGAAATGTGATAAAACATTGCAGTAAACAAATAAAATAAGTAATATTTAATGAGAGAGGATATTTTAATGAAGAGTGATTAAAATGACTGTGATCTTAAAGATAAATAAAAGTAATTACATTCAATTTTAGATTTTCCCGTCGACTGATTGGACCGAAGTGCTAGGTCTCAGGTTAACATGTCAGCTTATTGTGCAAATGCTTTGACGATATCTGAGCATTTAATTAGAAGTTAATTGGTGGGTGGTGACTAGCAGTGGAATCCAGGATGCGCATTTCGTCCTATTTGGGACTCGTCAACTGGATGTACCTGCATTTCTCAGTGAATGATAATGTTCCCACTGAGGTTTGAACCCAGTGCCCACAGTTTCAAACGTCAAAGCATTATCCGCTAGACCACTTGGGCCACGAGAGTCACCTCTTGTGGAACATTATCATTCACTGAGGAATGCAGGTACATCCAGTTGACGAGTCCCAAACAGGACGTAATGCGCATCCTAGATTCCATTGCTAGTCACCATCCACCAATTAACTTCTAATTAAATGCTCAGATATCGTCGAAGCATTTGCACAATAAGCTGACATGTTAACCTGAGACCTAGCACTTCGGTCCAATCAGTCGACGGGAAAATCTAAAATTTAATGCAATAATTAACATAACCCGTTGCACAATAGGTGGCTCTCTTGGCCCATGTGGTCTAGTGGATAACGCTTTGGCGGTTGAAACTATGTCACTAGGTTCGATCCTCGGTGGGAACATCATCACTCACTGCAGAATGCATGTACGTCCAATTGACGAGTCCCAAATAGGACGAAATGCGCATACTGAATTCTACTGCTAGTCACCATCCACCAATTAAAAGTAAATACACTTGCACCATTGAGGATGATGTCAAATCATGTTTTCATCATTTGATATTTAACATCAGAAAAATCTCAGACATGTACACTTCATATGAGAAATTGACATGCATAAATCTCATGGGATGGTTCAATATTTTTCTGTTTGAGGACTGCAGACTTTCTTTCGATCTACTCGAAATTCAGCAGTGACAATGAGTCCTCAGAATTTGAATCCGGATAGTTACTGCTGTTCAAAAACAATTTGGACACAAAAATTAGGTAGCTTTATAAACTTAAATATTTGAATTAACAAACAATCATCAAAAAGGCACATTACTAGTAGTCAGAATACATTTTCTCGTACAAACAGACTAGTTTAAGCTTTTAATAAAAGGAATGTCCCCAGTGCTACATTCAAAATAAGCAAAAGAGTAAGGAGTTGAATACTACTGAAACATTTCTGTTTCACTCATTTTTCTCATTTAAACTCAATCACTTGGTAACATTCAGCTTTCATGGAGGAAGAAGTGTTTTCTTATCTTGCTGTTTATCTTAAGCTAACTAATTAAATTGTTGTTTACTCTATCACCTATGACGACAAGATATTTTACTCACAGCCTTGTAATATTTGAATCTCACTGTGCTAAAAGCACTATTTTTGATGACTGATTTACAAGGGACATAAACAATTTAGAAACGGCAATAGGCAGTATTTTAATCTTTGTCAACTCTTTGGATAGCCAAGTCAAAACTTGAATCAAACAATCAAAAGTTTTTAGTCATGCTATTGACCAAACATCAATCAATATCAACAGAAAAAGTTTGAAAGAGGTCACTTCCTTCACTGATCTAGGCGGCCACACAGACGAAGACGTGAAAGCCAGCCAACGAGGCAGAATTGGAAAGACGAGACAGACTCATTCATCACTCTGAATTCATTTTGGATATCTTCTGCAATCACTCAGCATGGGGAACAAACATCGGATTTTCTACACGAATGTTAAGTCAGTCAGTCAGTCGGCTCTTCTAAATGAGTGAGAGACTTGCACTGTGCGTCATGAAAATCATTTCTAACAGGTCACTGTAGACTTTTCCCAACAACTGCATTCACTTGCTCCATAATGAAGATGAAATAGCTAGGCAGAAAGAATTAGCAGCGGGAAACTCTGGGAACTAACGACCGAAGCAATCAAGAACC